GTAGTGGTAGTAGTAGTGGTAGTAGTAGTAGTAGTAGTAGGAGTGTCGTCCTCGTAGTAGTAGTAATAGTAGTAGTAGTAGTAGTAGTAGTAGTAGTAGTAGCAGCAGCAGCAGGAGTAGTAGCAGCAGCAGGAGGACCAGCAGCATCAGCAGCAGCAGCACTAGCAGCAGTAGGAGGAGAAGTAGGAGCACGAGCCGGAGTAGGAGTGGGAGGAGGAGCAATGAAACTAGGAGTAGAAGTGGGAGTGACAGGAGGAGGAGGAGGAGGAGTGGGAGCAGGAGCAGGAGTAGCCCCAGGGAGCCTGAGTAGGAGGAGTAGTAGCAGCAGAAACGGCAGTACTAGCAGCAGCAGTGGCAAAAGCAATAGCAGTAGCCGTAGCCGTAGCAGTAGCAGTGTCGGTGGCAGTGGTCGTCGTCGTGCGTACGTACGTACGTACCTAGTAGTAAGCAGCAGCCATAGCCGTAGCCGCGTAGATCTGGCCGAAGCCGTGGCCATCACAGCGGCCGAAGCAGTAGACGTCACGTAGCCGTAGCAACAATAGGAGTAGGCAGGAAGCAGGACTAGGAAAACGAGCAGTATGTATGATGGTATGATGGTATAGCGATATGATGTACACATGTACATACCTCTGTATAAGGTTGTTTTGCATGCATGCATGTGCACCGAGGCCAAAAGGTGGCCGTGTTGGACCCTACACAACCTATGCACTGAGAACCGCACGCCACAGTGTGGAATGCATACACAAGTAACACACACACACACACATATATATATATATATATAGGTGTGTATATGTATGTATATATACACACACAAACTCTTCAAATAAATGCAGATTGGCATCGCAAGCACCAAGTCCATGAAGGCTTCATCGTCGGCCCAGCCACGTCCATCGAGTACTTTCGTCGAAAGATCACGTATTAGTCCTTCCACACACCAGCCCCCGTGCGCTGCGCAGAGGCATAAGCTTCACTGAAGCACAATGAAATTACAACTACAATCTGCGTGAAGGAATCAGCTTATATACGTGCACCGTGCGATACTCCCGGCCCCCACCCTTCAGTGCGCCTGTCATCTCTGCACCCAGCGCCTCAAACTTCGGGTGTTGGGCCCAGAATCGCCACGTGGGCTCCGCGACAATTTGCAAATTGGAGGCGCCCCTTCGCAACGCGACTAGCTTATTGGTTTACGCAATGCGTTGGACGTGTCAAACACGGCATGCAAGCTGTCCAGGCATTCAAACCCTGTCGCACAAGTGAACAGCGAAATGCAGCTGTCTGCGGCCTCAACCACTCGCGATCAGCAAGCTCCATTCCGCTGTAGATGAGACGGATCCGCCAGTCACCAGATTGGCCAGTCTCCTCCCAGTGGCCCTGATCCAGCCACATCCTCAGACTGCCTTCTGCTGCATGCTTCAGGCAACATTCGACTCTCTCGAAACCAGGAACAGAAGTAGCCTAGTCGAAAGCTTACTCTTCAGCCCGAACATGACGGTCGATATCCTCGGAAAGTATAGCAACTAGCTATTGTCTGGACAAGTCGCTCCACCAATTGCTTGAATCCGAGAACCTTCGTGGCTTGCACTGAAACCCCTACAACATTCGGCCACACACGTGTACAAGGGGACTGTCACCCTGCTTCAGGTGCTCCGAAGTCGCACGAAGTATGCTGTGACCACACTTCCACGCAGAAGCGCCCGACGAGGAATTCTTGTGATGTGTCGCTATTTTCTTGGGGACTCTGACAGAAATGGCACGGGAGTTCCTGAGAGTGTATCCAAGCCACGTGTAGAAAGCAAGATGCAGGAGCAGGATCCAACTCGCCTCGAAATTGTTCGGCAAGGCGGACCTCATCCAAGGAAGGACAAACGGATTGGAAATCAGAGCCATGTGAGCGCTCATGTGGTTTCAGCAGCTTCAGGGCCGGGCATGCCTGTGGGTGCCCGAGCTCAAACCGAGGCACCCGGCTTCCCAGACGGCAACTCTCTTGGCAACTCTTTCGACACCCGCAAATCATGCGATTGCGGCCAAGTGGCGAGGTTGGTCAAGCGGGCCGGTACGTCAGCAGACAGTTGGAAGGCAGGTGCCCGCGCAAATGCCTTTGCAAAGGACCAGTCCTGCAGAGAAAACGGGCTGCATCTTGCACAAACGTGACAGACTGAGCCCCTCAAACCCCGACGAAGACGAGACAGCATCATGCAGCTTATCAAGCCTGGCTTCAACGAATGAAGCTGGCCACCTACACCCAGCAACAACAGCCCAACCTTCATCACGCTGCATGCTTCCACGGGCAAGTCCTTGAGGTGATGAGGTTCTCGCAGTCTTTCCTGCAGCCTCTGGCAGAAGTGCTGTTTCAGGCCGTCAGGTATTGCACCGGTCACGCTGAAGATGTAAAGGCTGCCGTCAAGGATATAGTTGGGATCGATGCCGTCGATCCCCGTTTCCTCGCACACAGAGTACCACGCCTCGATGAAGTTTATCTGGTCTTGATGAGTCATGTTCTGAGCTTCCACGCCGAGCACTCGCATAGCTTCCTCGTTGCGACTTCCTCGGGCACTGGGAGGCGGTGAAATCTCACGGCTGGAGCTGGCCAAGATGGTCAAAAGCCTCCGCACACCAGCGCCAAGCTTGACTCTGTCGGATCCCGGCCGGGTTGCTTTCACGCGCACTCGCAGTCCGCTAACAAATCTACGCAGGGATTCTTTCCGAATCTTGCCCCAGCTTTTGACTTCTGTCTCTGCAACACGTCTCTGTCCTGAAGCACGGTTTCTCTTAACATACTCGGTCAAGACATTTTTGATGTCAAGCAGTTGGTCACTCGCTAGAACCTGCAACTGCAAGTCTATGTCACACAGCCACCACTCACAGTCGGGTAGCTCGAGCTCCCCTGTCTTCACGAGCGATGCCACTGCCTTCAACTGTTCCCGAGTAGCTGCATAGTTTGACATCTCAGCACTGATTATATCCACAAGGTGCGGCCGCAACAAAACAGCGTTGCGGAAGCAGCCAAGCACTGAGCCAGTCATGAGTGCATCCGTCATCAAGGACCTTTGCGAACCACCAACGTACAAATGAATGATGCGCGTCGGAGGATCGCTAGGCTTCGGGTCCAATTCGCCCAAGGAGATGTACTTGATCTCCTCTTTCAATTTAGACACAAGTGTTTCGAAGGTTTCCGGCCGAGCACGCAGGAAATTCGCTAAAGCGACACCAAGAAAGGGATAGTCCATGATGGGATGACGTTCGGGACAAGGGTAGAACCTGGCGGGCTCCATGCTACACCCTAAACCCATGTTCGCTGGATGCCTGTGGCCTGTCTCCATCACTCACTGAAAAAACTGTCGGAAAGAGTAGCAAGCAGCGTGTGAACCGTGTTGTCGTCGCTCCACACAGGTAAATCTGCATGTGCAGGGGTGCCCTTCAGCGGGCTATTCTCCCACCATGTTCGGCAGCTGGAGAAAAAGAAGCAGACATCGAGGCAAAACCCGTTCTTCTGCTGTCTGCACACCTGAAGCACTGCAGTGACGAGGCCTGTAGACTACTCCTAGCATGCATCAATAAAAAAATGTTGGGCTCAAGAGACGGGCGCCTCTGCCTTAACTTCACACTCCAGCAGAACACAGTTGTTCCATTTCAGGCCGCACGATGGGACTATCCAGGTAGAGCCCCCTTCGCCACAGTGGCTGTGTCCCATGTAAACCACTAGCAGCTTGGAGTCACGACCCAGCTTCTGCACGGCACTCTTTACTTCCGCCTTGATCTCCTCAAAGGTAGCGCGCCCAGTTACCCTGCAAACATCAAATTCGCGGCAAAGCCCTGATTCAATCACAGCTCGATGTACTTCCCTCACTTCTTCCTCAACGTGGTCCAAACTGGAATATCCGCCCGTTTTGTCATACTGCCAAATGGCGATGAGAAGGCAGACCCAGTGCGGCGAGTTCGCATCTGTCTGTGTCTCCATACCGAGCGGCATTCGAAATGCTCGGGGTGTTGTTGCTGCTACTACTTCATACATACAGTTACAGGTATACCTGAATATCATCGAATAATAGCAAAACATATATGCATACATATATACACATACATATGCGTGTATCTGTTAATTACTTGTGCCTATTTAGTTTCTCTTCATGTACATGTGCACACGCACTAACACACGCACGTCTGCAAAGGCTCTTCTTCAGCTCAACCCTCAGCCCTGAAGCGTGACTAACCGGCCGCATCCCATTGCGCAGGGCCAATTGAAGCCTCTATCCAACAGAGCACTCAACCAAAAGATTTCAGATTCTTTGGCGCTTTATTCGTATGATAGGGATGACCTTGAAGCAACCCACTCAAAGCCCTGAACCCCAACACATCCCAACACCTGAAACCTTGAAGCAGTTACCCTAAGTCCTAAACCTAAACCGTAAGCCGTCCCTCTCGAAGCACGGACTGCGGAGCTGTCACCCTAAGCCATTCTACACGCTACATGCGTACCCCAACCTCACCCGCACATCATGCGAAGTCGTACTTCAGAGCCGAGGGTAGGCCCGTTGGCCGTAAACTATCTTTCTGCTCATCCCCCCAATGCATTCTCTGATTGATTGGGTGGAGACAGAGAGGCAGATGCCTGTTGAGATGCAGCAGGCAAAGTGCCGGACGTTTGCCACGAGCCGCCGCAGCAAGGGCCATCCTCAAGCGTGCGGGAACGAGGCAGGGGACATCACGGGGACATCAACAATTGGATTGCTTTGCCCGGCCCAGTTCTTGATCCAGGGTTCCGTGTCCCCGTCAATTGCTTCAGGTCACACTGTGGCTCTCCCCTGTTCAATGCAACCGCTTCCCTGTGCCCTATACAACTTCAAACCTCAATCATGGCACTGACCTTCCCCCGCCCGTTCAGGTTCGTGGCCGAATCCAAACCCCAAGCCATCTTCAACGGTTTTCAAGCATGAGGCTTCTCTGTCCCCCAAGGTCTTCTCCGTATACCGCAGATGACATAAGAGGGGCTCCAAAACGAAACCGATGTCTTGCAACAACAAAGCTTGGCAGCAGACTCTTCTCTTCCATGGGATCACCTTTCGCCTGGCGTCCGTGCACTGCCGACCGCAGGCCAACTGCACGAGAAAGGCTAGAGACGAGGAGGGGGTGATTGGAGCTCATGCACGTCGCACATCCCTTCAACCCTCCATTCACATCGTAGCACTCCGATATTTCCATCAGTTGATCCAGAACAAAGCTCCCTCCCCAACCACTATTTGCAAAACGCGGCTTCCCATGTTTCAGGTTGCAAGTGTCACAGCCATCCTAGCTCTGGATATGTGATCACTTTGATCACAGCCTGCAATCGGGGCATCGTCCAATTGGTGACTGGCCCACGAAGGTGTGGAAAGGCGGCTTGGGTGCGCTGTCAATTGCAGTTGAGTATGGTATAATTTAGTATAGTGTAGTATGATTGAATATGAAATCATATGACATCGTATAACACTTGTTTTATCATGTAGTACAAAATTGAATGGGATAGTACAAGCTTAAGATTAAACTCAGAAGGCAGGCCTTATAGGTTTGATTCTGACTAGCAAATTTTAGGTTTCAGCACTCATGCTCGGACAAGCCTAGGCGAGGGTCCTGGTACGAGGAACAGCGCATTGGCTCTTAGGGACAGGCCGATTAGGATGGACGAATCCTAGCAGCGCCTTCAGCGATATGCGTCACCCAAGCCGACACTAACGGCTCCGCCGTCCAAAGGGGGTATCGAGAGGAAGGCGGGCAGGCCTGCCTTTGCGAGCATCCTCCTCGTGATATGACTTCTCCAAGTGAAACTACATAGCCGTAAAGAAGCCCAGTCTCAAGCTGGAGGTGCAGATATCAAGATGCCAGGGTTTGCAATTCTAGCCCTACAAGTATCAGCCTAGTCGCCGAAAACCGGTCCAGACTAGAGATACCTAACTCTTTGCCAGGCACGGTCACCCACTTGTGTGCGAGATGATGTGTTTCTACCCATGTATGCATCTAGCGCATACATATATATATATATATATATATACACATACATATGTGTGTGTATGTATATACTCTTTGTCCTTGTATATGTATATCTGGGCCCTTCGCGTATGTGTATACATACACATATATATATATATATACGATATGTTTACATACATGTATATTTCCGTCTACTTATAAGTAGAGACTGGGATTGCACTCCAAAGCTCCGACTGTGCTTGACGGCCCCCACACGCATCCGGCCATTGCGCGGATGGTAGCAGAAATGCACTCCTGACAGTCAGACCTGCGTTTTGAAGTCTGCGCGTGTTTACTATCGTACCTGTGCGGCCTACATGGCCCCTGCCCGTCGAACAGTTCATTGCTAGTTTCTAGTGGCAGAGTGTCGCAGACTTCGCGAACCTTGTTGTGCCAGGTCCGTGCTTCGAAGGTCTGCACAGCTGAATTGGAATCAATGAGGGCACTTGCTCTAAAGCGCACGCGGGCGGGCCCGGTGGGTAAACCCAGAACGTATGTTTTGCAGGGCTTCGTGAGGGATACCTCAGCCGAGCCGCCCGGTACACGTTCACCGCTTTGTCTTGCCGGCTGCAGCGCCAAACCCCGAGAACTTCACAGGACTCAACACCTGCACAAACTTGTCACGTTGCGTCCCTATAGGCAAGGCGAGGCCGTTGCAAGAAGCTCGAGTTCACCATTCTCTAATCGCCGCGTAAGCTGAGGCTGGCTACATCTCAAGTCAGTGACAGGAGAGCTGCGGAAGAAAGATGGTCGTGTTTTCGTGTGAGAATGTAGGCATTTGGTCTTTGATCCAGGCTCAACAGCTTCACAGGGCGCAGTTCATCGGCTTCTCTCCGCACCGAGGTGGGGCAAGCTGCCAGTTTGCAGTCAGAGCCTCGCCCCGAGGAGGGCCGTGGGAACTCCACAGGATCTTTGTACTTGGAGGATCATGGGACT